GCGATTCGCTAGCGAATCGCTCTATACGTGCGTTGCGCCAGCGAATCGAACGTTGCACCAGCGAATCGACCGATGCATTAGCGAGTCGAACGATGTACCAGCGACTCAATAGTGGCAGGACCCAACGTTCAAAGGAAGCCCGCCACTTTCAGTGTCCACTGTCAAGTCCCGCCACTTTCAAAAAGGGTCCACTGTCACGTGACACTGTTTGAAAGTGGCGGGCTTCCTTTGAACGTTGGGTCCCGCCACTATTGAGTCGCTGGTACATAGTTCGACTCGCTGGTGCATCGTTCGATTCGCTGGTGCAACGTTCGATTCGCTGGCGCAACGCTCGGCTCCAGCGAATCGCTCGATTCGCAAACTATGACATCGGCCATAAAAATGAGTGGGAAATGCGTTTTTATCTGCCTTGGAGAATCGCACTAGGCAGGTTTCCTTGACCCGTGCCTCGGTCTTCACACTGAACAGTCAAGCAAAGGGGCTGCAGCTCAAAAAGGGCCTTAAGAGTAAGCAAAACAACTATGATGGCGAGTCATCTCTCTGTTTACGTTTAAATGGAAGTGCGTTTTTGTGAGCTCACCAAGTACGGAATTTTGCAGCGAGTCTGAATCGTACCCTGCGACAGCTTGACACTATCGAGCGCAGAAAGCAGCTGCCATTGTCCAATCCAGGGTGGCGCTGGAAAGGAAAGAAGAAATCTACCCAAGGACCAGAAGCACATGAGAATGATAACCAACAAGGGCCGCATGATACGTCCGAGGAGGTGCTGTTTGACAGAGTGGTCAAGCAGGAAGAGCCTGGTCCATCCCAGGATCCTGATCAGGGCGATTCCGAGTTAAAAATGGCGGATGAAGAACGTAGTGAGGACTTGAGTGATAGCAATGAGAAAAAGACAGAGCAGAGGCAGAAGGTCACCGGATCGCGACGAACTCGAGCTAATGAAACTCTGGAGGAAAGAGCGGAACGAAGACGATTCAAAGCGGAAAGGGAACGCATTCGACGACGCCAGAACAGACTACGACGGGAGAGGGAGCGAGAAGTGGCTAACAATGCCTTCAAACTGGAGGAGGCGCGCCCATCATGCGCAGAGGTAAGCAAGCATTCTTCGAAATCTTTTATAGAATCCAAATGAAAGTTTTTAGCTTACTTCAATGAAGAGTCATTCAATTGCTGGTGGTGTTTTGCAAGCTGTCAAGGCACAGGTTCCCCATGTCAAGGCACAGGTTCCCCAGGGGGAACCAGTCTCCCCTATAGGTAAAGGGAAGTGAGTTAACTCTATTGTTGTTTTCCCATTCTTGATTTACATCTCGCAGTTGTTTCATTCATCAAAAGGCCGATGTCAGACTTTGCGAATCGCGCGATTCGCTAGCGTCTGCGGTCGCGTCGCGGCCAGTGAATCACTCAATTGGCTGGTACCGCAACGCGACCGCGGACGCTAGCGAATCGCGCGAATCGCTAGTAGCGAATCGCGCGATTCGCAAAGTCTGACATCGGCCAAAGCTAGTCGAGGAGGTGATTCAGGTGTGTGGCAGTAGGTGTTTTGTCAATTTTAGAATAACATCGTGGAGTGAGGAATGTGAATATCTTCTTCTATCATGTGTTGTATTCGTTTGCCGTACGACTTGTGTTGCTACTATGTTTCCGCACGTGCCTGCTTCAGTTTTCTCTGATGGGCTCACCCCTTTACCGTTCTATCAAGCCCCTGTCAATCTCTGCCCCTTTCATCAGCACTGACATACTACCTCGATCAAGTCCCTCCTAAAGCCGATGTCATAGTTTGCGAATCGAGCGATTCGCTAGCGAATCGCTGGATCCGAGCGTTGCGCCAGCGAATCGAACGTTGCACCAGCGAGTCGAACTATGTACCAGCGACTCAACACTGTTTGAAAGTGGCGGGACCCAACGTTTAAAGGAAGGCCCGCCACTTTCAAACAGTGTGGTCCTTTAAAGTGGACTTCCTTTCAAACGTTGGGTCCCGCCACTTTCAGTGTTGAGTCGCTGGTACATAGTTCGACTCGCTGGTGCATCGGTTCGATTCGCTGGCGCAAAGTTCGATTCGCTGGTGCAACGTTCGATTCGCTGGCGCAACGCTCGGATCCAGCGATTCGCAAACTATGACATCGGCCCAACCCTTATCCCCTTGCACCTGAATCGTCGCTTTACGTTGGTCCTGCCCCTCACAACCATTATTCCCCAGCACCTGCACCGTCATACGCTTCATATTACGTCCACCAAGCCCCCAATTACCCTGCAAATCTTACTGCAGAAGGATGTCGCGCTATGTTACAAACAAATCTATTTGAAATTGCTGTTGATCTTTTTTGTAGACGAGGCTATGTTTATATCGCTCAGATAATATATTAATATTCAACCTGGGTCATTTTTCCAGTGAAGTCGCTTTTACTCAATCAATACAGATGTAGAGTTAGCAAGAAGACCTCTGAGTTCCCGTACTCTGTTTCAGCTGCTTTGCACCTAGGAGAGGGGCATTCCTGTGCGAAGAAATAGGAAGCGTACCACTTTCTACCCACACAGGTAAGGGGACGGGACGGTGGGCGTTCCCCAGCGAAGAGCATGCATCCAGCGACCTACCGGGGCCGTTTCCGCCCGCTCGCGAATCTGCTCGTCCGCCGATAGGTAACTTGTCTGGCAGAGAGCGAAGTGGGCAGCACCGGTGAAAATCAAACCAGTGCGGAAATCAACGAGCAACTTCTACCTCAATTCCTAATGGGCTGTCTTTTCACTTTTGGTTTCGCCTTATAATCGGGATGCAAATATTATTTTTTACGTGATTATCGGATATTTCAGAGCTGCATGCTTCGCTCTCGTTGGCTTCAGATCGGAGGAAGAGCGACAAAGGTTCTCCGCCCTCGCGGTTTGTCCCACGACATCTTTTTGACTGTCCTTTCTCCTTCCAAATTTCGCAGACACTCAAATCTGGTTTCAGATGAGCAATGGTTTCCGTGATTTGATTTATCTCAGCGGTCCACTGGTCGAGGTCAGGAGACGCAGCAATTTGATTGTTTTTTTTTGTTTAAATCTCACATCACCAAAAATATTCCTTTTTAGCCTTCGAACAATGCTCTTAAAACCGACCGACCATCAGAACTGAACCGCCCAAGTGTCGTTTCTCACCTACAAGAAAGTTTGTCGGAAAATGTGACGTCACCACCAAAAATGGAAACCGACGGTATGTAATGCTAATTTTGGCAATTGTTTCTCGGGATGATTTGACTTCGGGATTCACAGATCGGCCTGGAACCTCGGCTACAACAGTGGCTGATGGCATCTCTATGTTAAGTGTTCTAATAGCAAAGGATGAGTCTGTTACCAGCGAAGGTGGGATGTTTGGTCTCATTCGCATTGTGTCAGTATTTATGTATCTTCCTGGGAGGTTGTTTAGTCTCTGAAAGGAAACTTTATAGATAACTTCGAGCAACAGTGCTACACAGAGGAACGCGAATTCAGGTACTTTCTTTTCTTCATGGTTTACAGCGTTTCTTTGAATGTGCGGTAAGCCACTGGAAATGAAAGTTACGATTTTAAATAGTGGTCTTCTTCTTATTCTTTAGCGTTTGTCCCACCCTGTGGCGGGGTCCGCTTTTCTGGTGTTTGACGCCACTTTTCCCGATTAATGCTTGATCGGGGTGGAGGCCAACTAATTTCAAGTCTCATGCAACGTATCAAGCCATCGTTGCTTCGGGCGTCCTCTTGGCCGCTTTCCTGGCACGTTAAAGTCTAGACCGATCTTACGGACACTGTCATCATTAGCGCGAAGGACGTGACCGTACCACCTCAGGCGAGCTTCGCGCATCTTATCAGCGATGGGAGCCACACCGAACCGCTTTCTGATGGTATCGTTGCGAATGTGGTCTAAACGCGTGACCCCGGCAGTCCAGCGCAGCATTTTTGTCTCCATTACACTGAGACGAGCCTCAACCTCTTTAGTCACGGGCCAGCACTCTGCTCCGTAAATGGCGACTGGTCGGACGACGGTTCTGTAGATCTTAGATTTCAGTCGCTCTGGTATTTTCTTATCGCATGGTATTGAAGAGAAAACCAATAGAGATTAAGGAACCTCTTTTTTTGAAGCAGTTTTACAAGGGCGAGTTTTTAAGAGGAATCACGTTGTGAGTGTGAACGCTTTTCTCCGCCTTTCCTTAATTCGCCACCGCAGCTGGCTGTTCCTAACTACCAATCAGCAATATGTCGAGTCACCCATCTGGAGGAGGATGTAACAAGGCAATTGTCGCGCATGAACTTTACCATAGCCCGCCACGGATGCCCTTTTCACTGCAAGCGCACCGTGTAATTTTTTATTGATCAAGTTTCGGTAACATTTTCAGCATAGAATCGTAATTTGTCGTACCACCTGCCTTTCAATGTCTTCTGTACAATCATCTGAGTAAGATTAGAAATGAAATTTTCAATATCTAAGCAGTATAAATTTGAGTAAAATCGGGATTCCTACAAGATTAACTCTACTGTTAATGCCTGAGTAAGAAAATGGCCTTTATGTGGTGGAATCATTATTCCTGCGAATTAATGTTAGATTGCATTCAAAATTTGCAGCTGTAGCAGCCAGTCGAGTGAAATTGGTCAAGTTAGTCCTAGAATAGAGGATGAAGACGCACAGCAGCAGTCGAAAAATTCGTGTTCGATCTGCGGATCAGAAAGTACTGACCTTTCACTGCAAGCGCACCGTGTAATTTTTTATTGATCAAGTTTCGGTAACATTTTCAGCATAGAATCGTAATTTGTCGTACCACCTGCCTTTCAATGTCTTCTGTACAATCATCTGAGTAAGATTAGAAATGAAATTTTCAATATCTAAGCAGTATAAATTTGAGTAAAATCGGGATTCCTACAAGATTAACTCTACTGTTAATGCCTGAGTAAGAAAATGGCCTTTATGTGGTGGAATCATTATTCCTGCGAATTAATGTTAGATTGCATTCAAAATTTGCAGCTGTAGCAGCCAGTCGAGTGAAATTGGTCAAGTTAGTCCTAGAATAGAGGATGAAGACGCACAGCAGCAGTCGAAAAATTCGTGTTCGATCTGCGGATCAGAAGTACTGACTAAAGAGATCAGGAAGTCGCTAAGCCAGCGTCGGCAGACTGTCGTTCTTCTTGCCTGCCTACTCGCGCAGAACATGATCAAAGTGGAAGAAGCAAAGAAGATTTGTAAAGAAGCACAAGAATCAAGTGTGCTAATCTGCCAGGACCATTACATTCAAGCGGTGGGTGTTGTTTCTCACTTTTCAATAGAAAAGTTGCCTTTGCTCGTACCTTCTTGTACAATCCTTCTAGGCCGAATACGTCAGAAAGGAGGTGGAATTGATGTGTGGCAAATTTCCAGAAAATGGATTTCATAGTGTTCCTACTAATGTTAGGGATGGATTGCTGTCATTCGTACGAGTATACGCAAGCCGCTTCGATGTGAGTGTTTCTATAGTCAGGCGAACGCAGTTTTCTTCTGCTGAGTTTCTCGGATTGATGGGAGAAACGCAATTTTGCTGAAAGCATATTTTTTCTGATGGTAAGGTTAATAGGCAAACTTATAATCAGTACAAATTGAGTTATGGTGAGCTTTTTGGCTAGTATGGTGATTAAATAAAGGGCGGAAGTGGTGTAGTGGCAAGTGGCGCGCTTACCACGCGAGCGGTCCGGGGATCAAATCCTGGGTCGTGAGTCGCCCGGGCCAACCAAGCCTTCCATCCCTCCGGGGTCGGTTAATTGGTACCAGACTTGTCTGGGAGGATAAAACACTGACTTGTACATCGGCTGGCCCCCGCAAGTCATTGTATAGGCCACATCGCATTCAAACGCCACTACGAATGTACAAATGGAAGTAGAATGCGTGCCAAAAAGGGATTGATCAACGGCAAATGCTTTATCCTTTTTTACCACTTTAACTAAATACGTGGTCGACCTATACTGACCGTTCGGTTGAGAACTTTTCGAAAAGATTTTTTCTGAAGCCCAGCTCTGCAAACTCTTTTAGGTGGGATGCTTAACTTGACCGAAGATTTTACTCCTTTCTCTGCCCTCAAATTGCGTCATTTTCTCTTCAATTTCAGGAAAATAATACGTTGACTTCTGATGACGTTTCGTGTTGCTTGAATAAATTCTTGGTGGAGTATCTCAGGAAAGATGAGAGCAGTATGGATGTGGAGAATTCTACGAAGTCGCATGAACCAAGAGAGGAAGAGCAGGTACCACATATGGCGGGGTAGGGGGAGAGGGCAAAAAAGAGATCTTTTGTACTAGGCGCAATCAACAAACTTTTCTTTGCATAGGCTGGCGCCATTGTGGATGTGGTACTGCTGAAAATTTCTCAATTTTCCCTTCATAAGCAGAAGCAGGCCCTTGTTCGATGCTCTCATATGAAATCATCCACCATCACTGCTTCAAGCTTCAGCCATGTTCCTTGGCAGATTTGTCTGATTCCATTTAGGTAGAAGGCTATTCTAATGTTGTCTAATAGACTCGATAATGCCCTCCTATTCTCTTTGGGATGGCATCTGGTTTGAATTTAGCGAAGTGTGACTGAATCAGTTCTAAATGTGGATGGAGAATGTCTCTTTCTTTGCCACCCCCTCCTCCTCCTCTTGACGACTTTCTTCGCTATAAATTCCTGCGAATACTTATTTTGTTTGAAGCAACCCTCTACAACCGAACAATCTCCAGTGAATCAGCAGCAGCCTTCCGTGAGCACATGCGCGGATCAAGCACTTTGCTCCCCAAGTAAGATCGTAGCTATCATTGACCTTTTTTGTACTAGCCATTGTTCGTTTAGTTCGCCTTGTACGTTTTCCATATGTAGTTTTTCAAAGGTTTCGTGAAGCCTCAGAAGTGAACTTTTGTAAGGTCCTTCTCGAAATATTTATCCATGGGGATACCTTTTGCTGTTGCAGGAAATGCCTCCTCCACTGGTGTTGCAGCGGAAGACGTTGCAGTTAACGACGAAGTTTCACTGATAAAACTAAAAAAGGAGAACTCATGTGAAATAAGTGCAATGGATTTGTTGGAGTCAGCGTCACAGGAGACTGACCCTGTGATTATTATCGGCTCTACTTCACCTGACAGTAAAGGTATTTTGCAGGAATTCGGCGATACCCTCTGAATTTCCTTCTTTCGAGACGTTTTTGTTTCCAGCCTCAATCTCCACATCTCCTTCAGAATCTATACACAAGGAAGAAGTGACAAAGAGGTATTTTTCATAAGACTGTCGAGTATTTCCTGGTCTTCCGGAGGAGATTCGATCGCAATTGTGAAACTTCTATATCTCAAATAACTCGGCTCTTAATTGGGGCTGTTGAAAGCTTCTTCGGTTGCTAAGTATTTTTGAGAATTTGTAGCTTTGTAACTTCGATCTTGTAAATCACGGGGTTGTTCCTCTACTCTCTTTTCTTGACTGGAAATTTTTACTGAAGGGATGCAGGTGAATGCGAGGGTGCTGTATTGTAGGCATCGCTCCAGTCGAGTATGATGGTCAGGGAAATGTGGGCAAGCTGGCGCATCAATGCTCCCCACTCGGAGAGCAGATGCCTAAATCTGAGCCCTAGTGAAGTCGAGGCATTTTATTCACAACTCAGCATCATTCTTAGAGCGATCATTTCAGTATCGTGTTTCAGGAACAATGACAAAAGAGAAATAATCACAGTTCCCTCCGCGGTGCTCCGCGATCAGGCTATGTTGGCGGACACTCTCAATGACGACCATTTCTGGAATTACTTCCGAATTACGCGCAAAACTTTCACTATGCTTTGCTACACATTGGAGAAGATACTGAAGAGAAAAGGAGATAAAACAATTTCCTGTTCAACTACAATTAAACTGGCTACCACTTTGGAAGTCTTGGCCGGAAATGCGCCGTCGTCGGTTGGTTTCACTGCAGCGCACGTTACTCGTATCTTCAACGATGTTCTGGCAGCATTAGCTGAGTGGTCGACAACGATGGTGCAATGGCCAAATGAGCGGGAGCGTAAGAAGATTAGCGCAAAGTGAGGTCTAAAATTGTTAATTCATCTTCATTTCACACTACCTGAGCAGTGGAAAGTAAGAACCGTGTGTTGATTGTATTTCGTCTATCAACACGTTGACGACACGCGCGTTTTGGGTTTTTGCACCGCGTGGGACCAGAGCGATTTTGCGAGCGCCGCCGCCTCACATCAAATCCAAGATTTTGAGCTGTAAATGCGGAAAAAAAATTGGATGCGAAAAACTGCTTTCAGTGATTCGATGTGGTAAACGGTGAAACTCCAGTTCAGGGGGGGGGGAGGGGCACTTCATTGTGCTCTCCTAACTAAGGATAAGGATAAGAGTTTTCATGACACGTAATCGATTCATTTAAAATTACTTCTGATAAGGACCGGTGTAGTGTGGAAGTACTCCTGAGGTGCTTTCAGATTTCGGCCTGCTGTGGTTAAAGAAATGGTCCTGAACTAGGGTATGGACATCCTTTCCTAGGCGCAAGGGTGTAGGAGCCCAGGGTGGACGATCACATGCCATAAATTGCCTAGGATGTGAGCAGGATGTGCGTGATGTAGGGCATACACCGGTCCTTATCAAAAGTGCACTTGAAATGAGTCGTTTACCTATTATCTTATCCATAGGGTCGAAGTCCAAAGGAGCACCCTTCAGTGCTACAGATAAGATAACGAAAAGTGCCCCTCCCCCACCCGAAATGAAATTTATGACCGAGTTTATGAAAATATAAAGAAAAGTAGGAATGAACACAATTGAGAAATTCGTGGGACTTGGAAAACCTTTCGCTGAAGTGAAGTATGTCCAACTATTTGCGAACCTCGCCTAATCGCACATGTTGTGGTGTGATCTACAGTAGCGGTCAAAAGTGTTCGCCGAAACGATTTTCAGTGCATTATTTTTTCTCGCTTGAGCAACGCCCTCCAAAGATTGATATACTATGTTTTCTAGTGTTTTTATATCCTCAAGTCTTAAAGAATCAGGATATTCAAAAGAAAAAATTTTCGAGGTCACCACTGATTTTTTCCTGCAAAAAAAGAGAAGCACGGAAAACTGTTCCGGCGAATATCAAAAATAGCGAATGCGCGAAAAAATAAACAATTTGGACGTGAAGCGCATGCGCTGCACGCTGTCGTCAACGTGTTAATATTGCCAAAAGTTGACCATTTGTACGGTAATGATCACTAAAGGGTTCCCCTTTTTTAGCTTCTTTGAACTGACTGGCCTGCACAATATCGTCGGTTGTATTGATGGAACAATAGTGTGAGTTTTATTTATTTTTTGTTTTATAGCGCTATTTTCATTCAATAAAAAAAAGAACTGAATCTTTCCGGTTGATGTGATAGCTTGAGAGAAGCTTTCACTTTTATGGGTTGTTCCATAAATTTATGGGCTAGCTTTTAGTTTATGAGTTTGGTCTAAGTTGTACTTAGGGTTAAATATTTCGGGGAACAAGGTACCGCGGACTTCGGGGTTTGCAACAGTGACGAGTAGGACTGAACCTCTGTAGTCCATTTTGGTCATCATCTTTGCCGGCCAGCTAAGGGCAGCAGCTACTTGAACAATCGCTTCTGAGATTTGCACGACTTTATAATAGGAATGAATTGGCTGCAAGAGGTGTGAACACTACTTGAAGTAAATTATTCAGAAGAGGGATTCAAGGGCTGAACATTGGAGTTGTAGTAGATGACAAAAAGCGGTTCCGATGGGTATTTGCGAAGTATCACTCGAACGAGGACGACGATTCCGTAAGTTTCTGGCTCTGGAAAACAATATTCGCTCATATTACGTTATGGTTCTTTTACAGGTCTTCAAACAAAGTTCACTTTGCCAACAATTGAGGGACGGCAGAAGGAAAGGATTTTTGATAGGTGATGATGCTTATAAAAGCGAGAGATTCTTGTTGACACCAAGCGAAGGAAAGGACTGGATGACAGGTACAGTGGCTGTTAGCTGAAAAAGAAATTTCTCCCTACTCCTCTGAACAAAAGAAAAAAAACATGTCTATTTACTTAGGGTGGAGGTCCATCCAAACATTTGCGACAGCACCCATTTTCTGCTTCTTTGCCCGCGTGAGATGGACACCACTTTCCGGCCGCGGGCGTCAGACTTCGACGTAAGACCATAAGGTTCATACGGTCCCACGATATGTATTTTTGAAATCCAGACTTGAAACGATCTTAAAGATACTACACAGGCACTCAAGAAAGCAACAGCGCGGGAAATATATTAGATCGGCCTGAGAATGATAAATTTGCCAAGTTGTAAGAAGTTCCAACTTTTATAGTAAAAAACGTATACGAACATTCTTCAACAAGGTCTTCAATTTGATCCATTTTGTAACCCTAAATAGGCGTTTACTCAATCGAAACTTCTGCTGGAGGAGCCACTTTGTTTGTGCTTTTATCATGTAAGCTAACTTACTTAGTCACCGCTCTCTAAAGTTGTTTATACGTTCGAGCTTCCAAAAGCGGGCCTTGTTGGACCACGCGGGGGATATGTATACCGCGACAACGGTCGCGGTATGTGGTAAATATGGATCACAAGGGAGTAATTTGATGGCGAATCACGAAGTCCCCTGTCGTCTGCAAGGCATGACCCTTCATCGGGCCACACGTCTCAATGTTCTTAGTTATTCTACTTTAAGAAGAGGACTTTGCTTTGGCTAATACACTGAGAAGTGCACATCTATTGGTGCAAGAGGCGATTAAAAACTGGAAGAGGCAGTTTCCAATACTCAACGGTACAATCAGGTGGGATTACGGGATTGATTTCATGTGATTTGATTATTTATTTTGTGAGTATTCAGATCTCAAAGGATAGCACGAATAGTTATATGTTGTGCGGCGCTGTATAATCTGTCACGAGCGGAAGGCGAGCCGTTATTTGAAGTTGAAGATGAAGTGGTAGTGGACGAGCCGAAAGAGTGTTTAACTATAATTGAGTGAAAAAACGGGTTCATGTTCTGTGTAAACGTTATGTTGCTCATGTGATATATTTGAATAATGTAATAAATAATTAAAAGTAAATTAAAATTGTTCCGTAATTGCTTTGAAGTGGACTTGCAATGAATGACAAGACAGTGCCGGCAGGCCTGTCTGGAGTTGTATTATTGTGAAAAAATTATTTGAATGAGGCTCTCAAAAAATTATGACTGTTAGGGAGCATCTTAAAGGCAGTAGCCACAATGGTTGGAGAGCAATGATTCGATGACGTCATTGAACGCCGATGGCGGAGTGGACCTCTCAGTGTGCTGGCCGCGTGGTTGGACCACTTTTAATGTGCTTCCATCAATTACGTTCAATGACGTCTCGAAAGTCCAACGACCACAGCCCAACTTGACTACTGCCTTTAAGCTTAGCGGATAGCGTCGCCGGTTTGATTCGATAGATTTAGATGGATTGGTCCATCCTTGTCTTGTCTCGACACTTTCGAGGCTTCAAGGTCGTGGCTCCAATGGACTGTTATATTGTCGGGTGTTGCAGAAGTTTTCTATAGGATTCATATTGAACACACATTGTTCTGCACATATTACTTCTTCGATTCAAACACTTCCATACATCGAACTTGCGGTCAGGTGCATGGCGTACCTCGTAAAAAATTACGCTTCTGATCGTCTATTTCATGGGCAGGTTGATTGAGTTTGGTCACAGAGACACATAGAGCAATATCGACTCTGTCTCTTGTCCTCCGACTGTTGTGGTGGATTTACTGGAAGCCATCTTCAAAACTGGGTTGTCCCATAACTCCTGGCCGATTTTGGTTTAAATTCAATTTTCTTCATGTCAAATTAGCTTCATAACGAAATAAGTTGATATGTTGAAGAACACATCAGGACCTTCAGCCAGGATGTTTCAGAAGCTCAAATGCGCAACGGGATAATTAAGTAGGAATCAAAATAGATCAACGACCAAACCCAACGATTATGCCTTACGACAATTTAAGAAGAACCTTGCAAGGAGCGCGGTAGGCAAGATCAGCGCTACGTTTGCCCCAGTCTTTGGTTTTGGTCGAGCACTGAGCTATTGGCTAAATAAAGGATAAAGCATTTGCCGTTGATCAATCCCTTTTTGGGATGCGGCACGCATTCTACTTCCATTTGTACATTCGTAGTGGCGTTTGAATGCGATGTGGCCTATACAATGACTTGCGGGGCCAGCCGATGTCAGTGTTTTTATCCTCCCAGACAAGTCTGGTACCAATTAACCGACCCCGGAGGGATGGAAGGCTTGGTTGGCCCGGGGGATTTGATCCCGGACCGCTCGCGTGGTAAGCGTGCCACTTGCCACTACACCACTTCCGCCCTTATTGGCTAAACAGCATCGGCAAATACGACGGAGCTGCAAAGTTCGACCTCATCATGGACCTCCAGTCACTTTCGATGAGGACCCCTTGCGCAACGAATAGGAAGTGCATCCGGACGCTATTAGCAGGAAACTGTAGCAAACATCTGGACGCAGCCTACGCTCCATGAGTCGACACCTGAATGGAAGGGGCTGTAGCAGAATGAAGTCTCGATGGAAACAGCGTGCATCGACTGACCATGATCGAGAAGCACGCCTACCTGGCTGCCTCCCTCGCAGGTTAGACACACCATCTCGACCAAAGCTCGAGCCTTTTCAAAGATATTACCCCCGGTTCGTTGGATTCGCTGGGTATCCCGTTTTGAGAACCATTTCACTTTATGCAGACAAGCATTGCGAAGGTAACCATGGAATAGCTCCCGAAGTTGGCCGCAGCAGTGCGGGAGAACGGTTCGAAACGTCTCAAAATCTCCTTTCTCCAAGGAACCCCGAAATCACATTGCAAAGATAACTCGCCACGTTTCGAGAGGAACTCACTGGACCACCATGTGTACCGCACAGCACTGACATTGCTCTATCGTAATCACCTCCTCAGCTCCCTGAAGCAGCAACTAGAAGAGAAGAAACTCACAGTAAACACACCCCCAAAGGTGCTAACTTAGTTGGGGGGGGGGCACGCGGCGGCGCGGCAGTCTGCTCGCCTGGCATGTTCGGAAATCCGTGGGCCAGGGGGAGTGTAGGCAGTCTAGGGGGGGGGGGGTGGGGGCAGTCACTTGACATGCGTGAAAAGCTGGAATGTTCGAGTTTACACTGTCTCGCTCGAGAGAGCCCAGGTGAGCAGACTGCCGCGCCGCCGCGTGGCCCCCCCCAACTAAGTTAGCACCCCCCCCCCCCAAAACGACCTCTCCGAACTCTTCACCTCACAGCTTCACTCGTTCTGGGAGGAATGCATCCATTCGTTCCCTAGCAAATGGATGCATATCAGTGATTATGATGGTGGTTATGTTTTTGATCAATTGTTTTTAGGAAAGATAAAACTTGAAGAAATGATGTGGTGAGATACGGCTAGAAATTATGGGACAACCCAACAGATAATAATCACTAGCAAGAAATTCACCTAGAAGGAGCATCCGTGCACCTTTCCTCATTAATACGAATTGACAATTCGCATGTCATTAGCTATATTTGGGAGCGCCCTTACAAGTAACTAAAGCTGAGTAAAACGTGGTGAAGCAGTGGGCATGTGGCGGGTACCAGAGGCGATCCAATCTTGGATTTAACTTTTACATTGGCATCTATTAAGTTACCCCTTAATTAGAGACTCACTTTGGGTGTTTTTCAATTTCAATCTTCTCACGTCACGACTACTTTAGGCTGGCGTCAGAGTCCGCGACTCGTCGGAGTCCGCCATCCGTCAAGCGCGAAACATTTTCCGCTGCAGGAACTTTGGGTCCACCACTGATCAACGGTGTACCCGAAGTTCCCGCCTTAGTGAACCACACCCGGTAGCACACATGTAGTTGCTTTCCTGCTGGGCTTGTTGCCACTGAATGATGGTCACAGAAAACTTGTGCTCACTTGTTTGCCAGCAGAAAAAGGAACGTGCAACACCGCAACGCAGAGGTAGATATGAAATGTGACAAAATGAAGAATCACGGTACGATCCGAAGCAAATCTTCGCCTCTTTCCTCCCTACGACACTTCAGCGCATTGCAACGGCTTCCACTTACGGTCTACGGACAACTTGAACTCGGTCCTTTAAACCGCGTCGACTCGATGCTCTCGCCTGCGCTCTCTCGCTTAAACAGCGGCTTATGATTATTGTGATCTGACACATCCAAACTTTGCCACAATGTAATTGGCTCACCCACTCCGGAGTCCCTTCTCCCTCCAAGGCTTAGTCCTAGGTTGTCACCTTCCTTCTTGGGTTTTGGAGCCGAGCCAGGCGCCGTTCTCTAATCGTCTGCGCTTTCGCGGCAGAGAACACAGGGGAGAGTTCAAGTAGTCACGTAATCCTCCACTTACTCGTCCAAGTGGGCGGGCTGATCTCAGTCGGGGGTGTGGCCACGGAGTCTCTGGGTGCAGCAATGCTGCGTTTTTGTAGAAGAGCTGACAACTTGTCTATTTTCCAGCTGAAGGGGAGGAGGTTCACTATCTTTGCTTTCCATGCAGAACTGCTCCTCAGTGGCAATTTGATCTCTCTTTAACGCGAATGCCGTTCCGTAAGAGGGGCCACCACTATTTGGTTGGTTGGACACCGGTTTCGAACACACGTAGCAATGTCTGCACGTCTGCGCATTCGCCCGCACCACTGCGCCTAGCGGTTGTCCAATCGATAATGACTTGGTCGCCGGCGCCTCATCGCGCTTGGCGTGCAAATCGGCATGCATTTACGCCCGCCACATTCACCCACTCCGATGCCTTTATCTATCGATGAACGTATTCAAGTGATTCTTCTTGCCGGAAGTGGTCGAACCCATCGTGAAATCGCCGAGGAGTTCAGTCGTTTACATCCATATCGAAGGCCGATTTCCCATGCCACCGTTGGCAATCTGCTGGCGAAATTCAGAGATACAGGAGCTGTTTACGATCGCGCCACCGTTGGAAGTCTGATGGCGAAATTTAAAGATACAGGAGCCTTAGACCGACGACGGGAAGTTTTGACCAGTGCTTTGGATGGAGACGACAGCGGAAGCCCTTTCAGCGATCGGACCTCTGAGCAACTGGCCAGTAGGATGGAAACATCGACGTGTTCCGCATTTGACACAGCTCAAGGACGGAAAAGGTACCTACCTTTTCTCTTACCATTTGATTGCCTAGTTAATAGTGTATTTGCTTATTGAAAAATTAATTTTGGTTCTTCTCAATTCGGATTTCTATTCAAAATTTTCGACAACAGCTAACTCCGATTCATATTCTCGCTGTGAAATTGAAGCGATGCGAAAATAGTAGCGCAACTGCGCAAACATCCAGCCCATCTCGATAGATGATAGGGTCTAGATGTAAGCGCGCGATTTGGGAAGGGATTATGACGAGCAAGCGCGAGATCTTTGTGACGTAGTTTACGCTTTGTTTCCTTAATTTGATGTATTTCTTTTTTAATTTCTGGCTCCAGTCATTGAATTTATTTTCATAGCAGTTTTGGTCTGTTGTCCGATGGGTGGGGAGGGTGAGGGGTTGCTGCTAAAAAGGGAAAACGTGTCAAAATTTCTGATGAAGCTTTTGAGCAGCTGGCAAAACAATACATTTGTAAACTTTGCTGAACTTCCAGAAAAGCAACAGCTAACAAATAAAAATGTCAAAAATTGCAACTCAGCTTCATTTCTGCATTGTTATTCGATCGTTTTTTTTTACTTTGTTTTTTTTTCATTTTGATAGCTTTCTGATTTTTTCGTTTTCTTTTTTGATTGTTTGAAGGTTAAACAGATGTAGTAACTTATAGTATGTTTTCGTTCACTACAGCAATCTAAACTAGCCTGAGTTATTTTGGCTTTGTTGACTGTCTGAAAAAAACCTCGTAAAACATGAGTTTTTTGATAAAAACGGGGGAATGCCCAGTCGCTCGAGCGATCCGTCGCTCCCAAAATTGGTGCAAAGTGTGCCCGTCGCAGAGTCTGACACCGGCCACTAAGCTTCAGGTGAGGAAGGAGAGACTCCAGGGTTCGTCTGCCATTCTCATCCCCCCCCCCGCAGAGTTCCTGTCCCTTCTAGGTGCAGTCCTAGAGGATACCCCGTGGTTGACGGACTACTTTTAAGCTGCCTTAGTTCACGCTCTCGTCTGCGCTTTCTCGCCTTATTAGCGGCTCATGACCACAACAACCCACACACTCAAACTTTTGCCTGTAGTTGGCTCAACCACCTTCGGAGTGCTACAAGGCTTAGTCCTGGTCTTTCACCTCTTTAGGATTTAGAGCCGATCCAGGCGCCACATATTGCAATAGCACCTGCGACACGTTTAATATATTTAGTTAACACCATCACTGCAGCTGCATATCTTTTCTTCGGACAACAGATCCCAACAGAGATTCGATTCGGTAAGGCCTGTCAGTTGACTGACTGTTAGGCCGATGTCAGACTTTGCGAATCGCGCGATTCGCTACTAGCGATTCGCGCGATTCGCTAGCGTCCGCGGTCGCGTTGCGGTACCAGCCAATTGAGTGATTCACTGGCCGCGACGCGACGCTAGCGAATCGCGCGATTCGCAAAGTCTGACATCGGCCTTAAGGTGTCTGTTCGAGTGGACATTTCTGGGAGCTGGAACTCGCACAATGACCGCACGAGAAGTAATGCTATTGTGTTTTCCAAGATTCTTAGATCCGTTGCGCATGAATAATAATGTCGAACATAAGACTCTATTTGTTCGTTTGGTCTTGTTAATTAGGTTGAAATATAATTGCTTTGCTTCGCAATATTCAGTGGTGACTAGTACCTAGGAAAGTAAAAGAAAGGAGGAGAAATCGGTCATTATTTTCACTAGCATTAGCGCTGGCACCGCAAGTCATTGTGCTTAATATCCACATCCCATTCAAATGCCGCTACAATTTTGCATGAATCCGAAATGCGTGGTACACAAGAAAGGGATGGTCAGCACAAAAGCTTCATCCTATCCTTTCATCACTTATTCAAATAGTTCTCTCAGTGGCGTCTTGTTTATGACACGTTCTCATCCTTTTTCATTTGTTTGTTGTCCAGTAGTGACGCTAATTTTTCAATATTTTCCAAGTGGATGATCCGATTGAAATTCTTCCTTCAGGCAGTATACTATTTGTAAACTTTAAGGTACCGCTATGCTGTTGTCGACATCAAAGATCAGTCTAGTGAGGATCTATACGATGTTCTGGTACGATTTTAGCCAAGTTTTGTCAAATTCTATTAAACTGAGACAGCCACTGTCACTGAAATATCAGAATGTTTTCAGATTAACAATGGATACAATGATTTTCTTCTACTCGACAATCTTAGTGATCATCCGGACTTTGAAGTGAATCATTCTCATAATCTATCCTTTGTATAATCAACCAGAATTGGGCCTGACTAAACCCGATTGCAAGAATCCATTCTTGTGTGAATTGCTGTGATCTCAAAGTCTCTTTTCAGTTGGCATCAAACAGAAAAGAAGAGTCGAAGTCATTCCTCAGTCTGGAGTGTGAGTCGGATATCTCACGGGCTCCTTCTTCGAATGGTATGTTTTAATTTATTGGTGTAACTGAAACCCTTAACATTGCATGCTTATTTTGATTTTTACCCATTAAATATCCACACAACGTCATGTGCTTATCTCACACCCAGTTCATGTACATGTAAAACATACGAAAGTACCGGTTCTTTGGCAGCCAAATGTCCATCAACAGTAATGACACGAGATTTCAACACTGGTGGCTGGGTGAGCCACTGCTCGTAATCTCTGGTTGTGATGGTATTATGTTTTGATTTTTTTTTCCTGGTCTTGCCTTACCTACGGTGGAATTGTTGTAGAATTAGAGGCAGATGTAAAGCCAAGGCTCGAGTAGCATTTTCAAATACGCGCGCTTCACTTATTATTCCCTTCAAAAGCTATGTTCTTCTTCAGCAGCGAGATTATTGATTCTTTGTAATTTTGGTTCGTAATGACTTCTTCTCCCTATTTTCAGAAGGTGCAGCTGATGTTCCGTTCTTCGCAGAAGTCTCCGCCACGGATCTGTTAGGCGGTGGCAGTGGTATTGAAACTGCTGATGTCGGTGCTGCTAGAGAAGGCCGTAATGAGCGGAAGCCATCTCCTTTATTCGAAAATCACCCTCGCCATGACTCTCCAAATACATCCACAGGTGAGTAGTTTTGAATAAAAGTTTCCAATATAGTGGCTTCAAAGCCAATTGATAGTTGTTGGCGCATATCAGCATCGGACCTCTAAATTTCGGATGTACCGGCTTTCTCTCTAACCGTGAGACTTTTTCCTTTCCATTAGGTACTCTCAGTAAAGGTGTGTAAAAGGCCGTAGGTCGCACTAAAGCGTAGTTTTCAACTGTTTGACTTGATGTTTTTCAGTCTTCAATCAATCTACTTTTTTCTCTTTACTTGTACTCAGCGCATTTCAATCCACAACTTGGCTGTTTTTGTTACCAAAACCTTTAATCTTGAGGCTATTGAAAACTCGCTACGTTTGCCCCTTTTTGTGCTTCTTTGATATTTGCAATATGTATGTTCTTTGAAAGTCTATGATTTGGGCTGCTCGCAGGTTACTCAATGATGTCGATAGATTAGCTCACTTTTTTCAATTGACTTTTCGAAACCCTGAACATCTTCACGAAAAGAAGTAGAGGTAGAGGACGCAGTCCACCCCTTTCCTTTACTTTTCTGACATGGTTATTCATCTGTATGAAGATTCTTTGAACTGCTAAATTGTTGTGTCATGGTTTAGGCTCTGAGAACGGTGCCGGACAAAATCATGACCAAGAACACATCCATCATTTAGATAGTAGCGGGGAGGGTACGGACTCTGAGACCAACGAAGGAGGTATGATTTTATATTTGACGAATTTTATGAGCCATTTGATATCCCTTTTCTATTTATTACAGATGCGACACAGAAAGGGATCGACTATCAAAGTCCTTACGTGGTTTGTCAACTTTGCAAAAAAGTGATTATGGCGTCGAGGTGAGTTACGCCCGGAATAGAGGGGTTTTATATAGCAACAGAAAACCCTCCTGACGCAGACTGCGATGGTAAGTAGGGAATTTCACTAAAGGTGTTCAGGTTTTCAAATCTGTCGAATCATGCTCGTCGACACTCGGTTATCAAAAAATTCAAATGCGTCTATTGTGATCTTCAGCATAACGAGCACGCAAAGGTTTGTGAACATGAGTTGACTTCTGAGTTTCTTTTTTTCTTCACTATTTTCCAATGTCACGCGAAATATGTGGCTTTCGCATAAGTACGCATTTTTATTATAGATCTCGTTCAATATTTTCTTATTGAATATCTTTAGATACGTACCCATATGGCTAACATGCACGCTGATCGTTCATCGATGGCCATAGACAACAGTTGGCGGATGAAAAAAGTGTGGGAATTCTTATTACAGAAATGTTTTCCTCACTACACGCCCAACAATGAACCTCAGGTGATTACCGTTCACTTCATTTCATTTTTTGAACGCCTCATAGCGGGATATCGTATGCGACTACAAATTAACTTCGTCGGGCTAGTTCTCGCTGTATTTTTGTTTCTTACAAAACCCGTTTTTGTGCTTTTCATAACTAGGAGACGTTACGGCTCCCGCGCCCTGCAGTGTGGTCTGTGGAGCAACATGGCAAAGCGACGTCGTCCAACTTCGAGTTCAATACTTCTGGAACGATTGGGTTGATATTCCTGCAACGAAAACGTCTGCATGCGATTGAAGGAAAGGGTCGGGGTAATCTGTCCTTTCCCGAGGGAGACGCGTTCCTCACCTTCGATCCTATCCTGCTTCTCTCTACTGCGTCGGTACCTACCGTTCCAACAGTTAGGACCCGTGACTCTTTCGCGGAATAGTTGTTACCAGTGCGTGCCTCTATGAGATTCTTCATAGGTTTTTGGATGAACTCGTGGCTAAACCTACTCCAGAAATGGTCAGTGAGTTCGCTGTGGCAACTTTGCAGTTAACGTTAGTTGCAGAGAAAAGAACAGGATCATGTTGGTCCATAAGGCCACATTGTACATGTCTTGATGATTTCAAAGTTCAAAGATTAGTTCATCGTGACTGCCGCAATGTTTTGCGAGAGCGTGAACTCGAGTCACGCCCTCTAGAGTTTACGCCGGCATTTATGTTGGAAGTCGTGCGATGTTGCTCAAATGCTTTTTCTTTGTCCAAGCAACGATATAAATCATGTATGTGCAGTACTGTTCATTATGTTTGCAACTGGATCATTTCAGCCTGTAGTCGCGGAAAACGATTTGGTATTGCCGCCCAGCCCAGGGAGCGGCACGTTTGCCTGCGGGATTTGCGGCTATCATGGAGTTGATCAGGTGCGACACATTTTCGCTTTGTTTTGACAAATATTTTGATTAAAACTGGGAAGTATGCAACGCTAGTTTTATGACGGATGATATAGCACGTAGAGAGATAGGGAGATATGCCGTCGTCGAAATTGATCTTTTATTCACAAATTTTCGCTCTCGCTAAGGCTCGCTTTCGGTAGCGCACCTTGTTTGTAATTGTTTGTTGCGTTACGTGGAATCGACACATTTCGATTGTGAAGTCGTGCGATAGGTAACACTAGGCTAAAGTGGCTCTTGCTAAGAACGCCATTAGTCTCTGTCGTTGTCATCTCTCATCGTTCTCTTCCGAATCTCTTTCTCCTTTGCTCCATACGTGCTATTATATCAGTCTTATCTCTTATCTCTAGGATGTCTTTTGAGACCTATTTCGTCGAGTTCCTACATTGCTCATAAACAGGAGCGATTGCCTTTTTATTTGGATTTCCTCTTGATTGGGCGGAAGTGGTCTAGTGGCAAATGGTGCGCTTACCACGCGAGCGGTCCGGGGATCAAATCCTGGGTCGTGAGTCGCCCGGGCCAACCAAGCCTTCCTCCGGGGTCGGTTAATTGGTACCAGACTTGTCTGGGAGGATAAAAACACTGACTTGTACATCGGCTGGCCCCGCAAGTCATTGTATAGGCCACATCGCATTCAAACCACTACAAATGGAAGTAGAATGCGTGCCGCATCCCAAAACGGGTTCGATCAACGCCGAATACTTTCATCTCAGAAAAAGGCGTCGGCAGAGGCCTCCTATGTAGACGAGCGATTAAGCAAGTGATGTTATTATGTCAATGCGAAAATTGATGACCAGAAAGGGTTGGACTGCTTTGTCTGCTTTGGCCTCGAAATATCTGTCGTTCGTGAGGCTAGGGAATTCGTACATTCTTAGTGCTGCATGGGAGCCTTCACAAATGCGCACTATTACAGCATCTATGCTTTCTTTCTTTCCTTCAAAAGGCTCAGTCTTACAATACAAATGTAAGCTTTTCCATATACATTCTCACCCTTTAGTTGACAAAAGCCTTGTAAGCGTCTGCCTTCCGCGTCACGACATTAACACGTTGAAAGTATAGAGCGGCCTACTGGATTTCTGGTCAAGCGAATTTTTACTGGCCATCAAAATTGGTTATTCGCTTAACACTTTTGGCCGCGATCCAACTTGAACTCATATTCCACCAGCTGTAGAAGATTCTTCGAAGACATCACAAGGGTGTTGGGTTATAAGTGAGATACGGCAAATGTCCGAACAAACCATGAATCAGCATCCTTCTGATAACTTTCTCCTGACGACCTGCGGCTAATCAAAAACTAAACGAATGCAACTAGCTCTTTGCGCCTGATGTCACAACGGGCTCGTTAAGCTTCCTTCTCTATAGCGCGGTTCATTTGTTTCGCGAGGAGCTCCTGATTGCGAGTTCGAGGTCATAGCAGTGTTGCTCGAGATCAAGATCATCTTTTCCTTTTGTAGTGGAGGGTCCGTCGGCACATTTCCTCACATGTGGGAGTGGAACCCGATACCAGTGTCAGAGCTTTTCTTGCGGAATCGAATCTCCAAGCAATTGCTGGTGAGAGACATCATGCTTAATTGTAATTCTTTTGATCAATCTTACTATTTTATTATATTTTAAGAACAAAACAGTGCTGGAGTTGAAGGCAGTGGTGAAGGCGTTGTGTTGCGGGGTTACGAACAGAGGCCTTCGGATAAATCAAGTGGCTACAGAGAAGATACTTCGTTCGAGATTTATGTATCGAAGCCCGACACAGAACAGGAACATGGGCTGCGCTCATTGGTTTGTCGGGTATGTTTCTTTGTACTTCTTCATTGTGTAAATTTTTTACATCCAATTTATCGTGGGAGGGGGCAAGAGTAGGGTAGGTCGTAGATATAGAATGGAGGGGAAGTCGTATTTAATTGACGAAGTGGGAGAGGGGTTTTTGGGTTTTCCAGACGCGCGGTACACCCTGCTCGTGAGTATTGTATTCGTTGTAATTGGAGCGTCTGTCGCAAAGTTTGAGGGCTGTCTTGGGCAGGTGTCTGACTTTGCAACCTGCTTGCGAATGTCGTGATCCGCTAAAGATTGGTCGTAAAGTCTTATCTCTGCATTCTAGAAAAAGCGCAGGTGGAAGCAGGACATGGAGGAATGTGAGTGTTGGCACGGATTGAATGTCGCGAATTCTGTCGCACGCTGACGGGCTGCATTACTTATGAAAAATAGTTACTGCTTTTCTCAGCAGATCACTCCCTTCTCATTAAGTGCTGTCTTATTTTTGTTGACATTTGGTGATTTTTACCTACCTCCTTTACTTGGTGTTTATATTTTTCACTTCACTGTTACCACATGTCATTTGGCATGTAGTAAACATTACATTACATTACATAGATAGCAAGGGCTTAAATGGCATTGTTAATACACCTCAAGTTTGCTTTTCAGTTGTGTAATCGGATTATCGATGGAAGAGGTCTAGTCAGCGTTGTGATGCATGCGAAAGCACATTACCACGTGAAGCAGTTCGAGTGTAGTAGATGTGGGTTTGGTAGCAATACAAGGACCATCGTCAGAAAACACATTTATTCTCTGCATCGTCGTGGATGCAGTGTAGTTATAGAGCATAAGTGAGCTTTTCTTGCTCTTGGATTTGATATTGTCTTCGTATTGACAATTAAAGTGCTATTTTATCACTTTTTCAGTGATGACATCATAAGGAAGGCATGGACACAAGTGGTGAGGGCATGTTTCCCAAATTTGCCAGATTTGTTGGAAAAGGAGGAAAGGGAAGATGAAAGCAATGGTATGGAAGTGGATTTGGAGCTATGATGACATATGTACTGCGTGCAACATTTGTCAAAAATTGCTTGGTTCAACCGTTTGCAACTATTTTCGTTGTGTCCGCTTACTAGACAATTCGAATTCTTCAGTTCACTTGTAACACATCTTTTCTAGCCTCCCTCTCTTGTTATGTTGAATGTTTCTAAATGGGTTGAATTTATTACGGTGAAACGATGCCCAAACTCTGTTTCTGCGTTATGTAATGGGAGCATCAGTCAATTTTTACGGCCTTTTTTTCAAGGAATTAGAATTTTTGAAGTCTCAGTTATCTTTATCTTACAAGATCTCGGTAGTCAATTCTTCATGAATACTTCTATATCCCAGGTGTCTTTTCCTGTTCTGTAGCCATAAATACAACAACAGTCACAGGCACAGCCGCCCAATGGGGTTAGGTAGAGATCGCGAGTTTGCCGCTTTTTGACCGCGCGCATAAGTGCCACATACCGTGGACGGGTTTTTGAATGTGACTGCTGCTGAATGTTTTTGAACGCAAAATTTTTGTACTTTCAAGGTTGGTTTTATTGTGATGTTGACGTTGTTGTTCTTGTCATATCAATTCTTTGATATTTACTTTGCCTTAAATTGCAATTAGAGGTTTCATCTTGAAAACTAATAAATATGTATTCATGGAATATCTGGACATTTATGCTCGTCTGTCTGCTCATAGTTGGATACTCAACTTTCTTTTTGCAAAATAATAAGCTGTCTACTGCGCTAGAGTGGTTTTGTCGTTAGTGTGTGCCATTTTTAATCACTGGCTAATGATTTTTTCGAGCAGTTGGGCGCTATATGCCTCTAGAGTGGCCATTCTGTAACATGGCGTTACAGTTACGACAACGCTTGGTTTTAAGCTCAAACATCCGAGGAATGGGGTAGGGGTCAGGTATCGAGAGTGCGTATGCAGTTCCATTTCCCGTGGAGTTAATCCCCTCCTAAGTTGGGGTTCAAGAGCTCGTGGCCCCTACGGACGGTGTTGGACTTCACTCCATTCGCCAAGTCTGAAACTGGCCTATGAATGATGGTGACCGTAACCGTGACGTTACAGATGACGCTTTCATAGCTGATTGTAGCGAGAGCATCAAGTAAGTATAATGAAACATACAGTCGATATCCGAAAGTTGGGGTAGGCGTGTCACCGGAAAGTGACGTGCACTTGATAGAAGTTGCGTGGATAAGCTGTTGCCAGCATGCTTTGCTGATATCCAGCGATGTATGTTGGAAGCAGCTTATCCACATAGCTTCTATCAAGTGCGGCTCACTTCCGGTGACACGCCTACCCCAACTCTCGATATGGACTGTATCTAATATATAATACATATTATGCGACTATTACGGTAGGACGACCGAATAGCAAAGCGCCCAGACTGTACTAACACTCCTCTGGAGTGACACTGCGTGGACAGACAACTTCTGTATCCGATGTGGTACTACCAGTTGACGTAAGCAAACCAGCCCTTTTGGCGTTTCGGCTGGGACCGTATGCTGAATGTTGGGGAGGGGATGGGGTCCCCAACGGTCGACGGTTTACTTCAACTCGGTTGGTACGATAGGAGAGTACTGACGCAAGTGGTGCAGCTGGTCCAGCAGCTCCGCCAGAAGGGGTTTGCTCACCCCAGGACTAAGCCTTGGAGAGGGGACGGACCCGTCCTCTCTTTAAGGCTTAGTTCTGAGGTAAGCACCAAATTGTGGCGGTTCTAAGGACCGAGTTGAAGTGGTCCGTCCACCGTCGGGGACTCCATCCCCTCCCCAACATTCAGCATACGGTCCCAGCCGAAGCGCCAAAAGGGCTGGTTTGCTTACGTCCTAGCAGTACTTCTCTTTTTTTTTGCACGTAGCGTAGAAAAAGGCAAGAGCAAGCCTGAAATCAGATATGTTTCATGAGATACGTGTCGACATCCACATGATCGAATGTGTCGCACGATCGATACGTACTTGATGCTGTGCAAACTGTCTGGGACACCATCGGTTGGGCTACAAAAGCAGTTTCCTGCTGCCGCAGCGAATGGCGGATTATCTGCGCTCTTTTTGTGAAGTGAACTGACTACATTTCCCTTTGCTCATGAAGTCTTCGTTGAGCAATGGTGTTAATAACATCTCGATTGGAGAGCGCAGAAAAATATTAGGCTGGTGTCAGAGTCCGCGATTCGATTTGCGCGATTTTCGCGATTTGCGCGATTTTCGCGATTTTCGCGATTTTCGCGAAACCTGCGATGGATCACAGGAGTTGGAAGTGCCCGATGAATACTGCGAGGTGTTGTTTAATCCTGCTGCGAATTCTGCTTGGCAGTAAAGATTGGAAGACGAATGTTTGTGGTTCTACTTGTTTCATGTTCAATGTCTATTAGTTCATTGAAATGCTCTTGAATCGTTCCTATTTTTTTTCAGGAATCAAACCAAACCAATCACAAAAATTGCAAGTGCCCCATTTGAACAATTGAAACACTGGATATGAAACAAGTGGAATCATGAGCAGTCTCCATTAAACCATAACCATCAAGCAGAAGTGACGGCGGGATTGGAGAACACCTTGCAGTATTGATGGGGCACTTGTGATTTCCGTGACCCGTCGCGCAAATCGCGAAAATCGCGCAAATCGCGAAAATCGCGAAAATCGCGAAATCGCGAAAATCGCGCAAATCGCGAAAATCGCGAAAATCGCGCAAATCGCGAAAATCGCGCAAATCGCGAAAATCGCGAAAATCGCGCAAAAAATCGCGGACTCTGACACCAGCCTTACGGCGCATATGTTACGACTGATTACCCCTCTCTCTCATTGGCAGCACAATCGGTTGTGCTTCATTATTCTCTTACAGTTACTCTCATTTTGAAGGAGTGGGAACTCAATATCCATGCCAACAAGCGGAGCAGCGGGCGATGTAGAGGATGAGGCGAATGTGAGTTCTGATTGGAAAGCATGGTATTCCTTCGAAATCCGTGACTCTTAGGTTTTATTAGACTTAAGGATGTTGGCCTCTGTAAAGCTAAATATTTAGTCTGTGTGCATTTTTGGGTGAAGGTAAAGCCTCGATAGATGGGCTACTATCACGCGCCTGATTTGGAAGTGAACTTACTAATCAGATTTTTTGCCCTATATCCCTCTCTGTGAGCTGTGGTAGAGAGGAAATAATGCACTGCACGTACACTCCTTATAAGCAGTGCACGACCGGTTGGTCTCATTTATTCTACTGATTTTATAATCGCTGAGGGAGGCTGAGCGAGTATCGGCGCTGGTGGAGTTGAGGTGAGTAACCCATTGTTATGGATTCCACTCCGCGGTTCATAAGAATGGCACTTGGCCAAAAGCGGATTCATGTTAGGCGGGTAGGCAGCATTTGATTGTTTCGGAACGCTTTCAGGCCTTTGACAACGACGAATTTGTCGAAACGTTAGGCTGAATAAAAATTCCACCATAAAACCTGTTTGGCACAATAACAACAACTAATTGTTCGAGAAGAAATGCCCAGGTTTCAAGAAAGGCGAACATGGAGAGTATTACTAATCAGGTTTTGTCTGAACTGAATAAGTTCAGCCTTTCGAGTCAGGTTTGGGAGACTGAGGCTCCTCTTAGTCACAATGGTTTACAAAATGCAATAGTAGGCAAAAGCTTGCTTGAAAAAAAGTCTCGAGAATATCCCACCTAAAGGTGGGCTTCGTCACCTACGCCGGGGGGTAAGTGTCAGACCTCGCCATGGTAGCGATTGCAGTCGCGAGTAAAATGAGGCGGGGAGCGATGGCAGAATCGTGATTGGGATGCATGGTTATTAGTTCGTAGGGTTTAGATTGCGGCTCGTTCCGCTCCACTCGCGATTCTGGCAATCGCGAAGTCTGACAACTATCACAACTTATGGCATTATTGCACTATTACAAATCAGAAGGGCGAGATGGGTCAAGAATACTTTTTCGCTGAAATTTTCGCTATGGGGGTTATCGAGGTCCTGATCACGAATATGACATCCATTTTTGGCGCTGGCGCCAATTCGGTAATAGTTTGTGCCACTAGTGCCCAACTTTGGTTTTGCATTAGCCTGCACTTCCATTGAAGCTGGTATTGGGTATAAAGGAATATAACCTCCCCTTCAAAAAGCGAGAAAGTGTCGGGTGCAGACCAAACACCACAACTGACGACGGCCTCCAAGTAAATCTGGTTAGAAGTTGTTCATAGTGATAGCTGATTTCTGGTAAATGATAGTTGTAATTAGTGACAACGAT